GCAGAGCCCTACTGGTTTGGCTAAGTGGATAGAGCCATCCGCCTGCGGACTGAAGGGTCCCAGGTTCAAGGGCATGTACCTTGGTTGTGGGCACATCCCCAGTAGGGGGTGTGCAGGAGGCGGCTGATCGATGTTTCTCTCATCAATGTTTCTAACTCTATCCTTCCCTTCCTCTCTGTAAAAAAATCAATAAAATATATTTTAAAAAAAAGATCAAGCAGAAATATCATGTCATGGAGGGAGAGGCTTCAGCACCCAGAACCTTTGTGGCCACATGGAGGTGAGAAAAAGGGGTACAAACATACACAGGTCTGGTATATAACTTGAGTCCTGTTCTCCAAATTTAGTCTGGGAATGTAAATTGGGAATGTAAGTTGGGGGAGTGGAGTGAATTCTTCCTGAGGCTTTTTTCCCCCCAAGTTGTTTTTTTAAATCTCACCAGAGGGTATTTTTTCCCATTTATGTCTAGAGAGAGTGGAAGGGAGGTAGGAGGGGGAGAGAGACACACACACTGATTGGTTGCCTTCTGCAAGCGCCCCCACAAGGACTGGGAAACCTGCAACTGAGATATATGCCCTTGACAGGGAATCGAACCCAAGACCGTTCGGTCCACAGACGTGAGCTCATAACCGGCCAGGGCACCTGTGGCTTTTTTTCTATCAGATTTTTGGAGATCATAAAAGTAACACGTCCTCACTGTATAAAAATGCATAGAGTACTGTAAAACTTCCCCATATCCTAAGGCATTTCCTGTTAGCAAATAATTGGGGAATGACTTGCAGACATTTTCTCTGTATTTGTGTGTGTGTGTGTGTGTGTGTGTGTGTGTGAGAGAGAGAGAGAGAGAGAGAGAGAGCACCAGATTTTTTTTTCATAGATGAGATTGGAGCACTTTCTGTTCTGAAGCTGTCTCATTGAACAATGTATCTGCATTCTCTCTCACAGTGGATACTTTCACATGTTCCTATTCTCCCCAAGGACTGCAGTCTCCCAGCATGCTGGCACTGCTCCTCTTAAAGCTCCTTGGGCTGTTTTTTTTTTCTCATCTGAGGGTATTTTCCCCATTGATTTTTAGAGAGAGTGGAAGAGAGAAAGATAGAGAGAAACATTGATGTGAAACACATTGATTGGTTGCCTCCTGCATGTGCCCCAACCAGGGCCTGGGCCAGGGAGGAGTCTATAACCGAGGTAAAGTGCCCTTGACAGGAATTGAACCCGGGACCCTTTGGTCCGCAAGGCCCACACTCTTTATCCACTGAGCCAATCGGGTTAGGGCTGTTTTCAGTGTTGAGTTATTGCAAACCTCGCTGGCAAGAATGCCAGGGCCTATTTCTAAACTTTTGAGCTTTTTACCAGGGGCTCTGGATACAAAGCTGACATTTCCCTGGGGGTTATCAGTTCCTTGAAATTCAATCAGTTGTTCTGGTGTCTAAAGTCTGGAGTCTCCCCAAAAGGAGATATTCTGACCTCTTTTGAAGCTGTGAGGATGAAATGGGGTCGTCCTCGTACAGCCCTTAGCACCTGCCTGGCTCATGACTACTGGTCCTTCCACTTTTACCGCAGCCTTAAATAGCAGTGGGGATAACGAAGCTGTTAAGTTTTCAAGATAATATGATAAAACTCCATTTTATGTGGGTGCTGTTGGAGTTGTAATTTGTTTCCTGAATGAGGGTTTGGGGTGAATTAAATTTGTGTCTCTATTCTTAGCCTCTTGACATCAACACTCAGGAACTAAAGAGAAAACTGACAAAAAGGGAATTAGGAAAGGATCTCTCTATGAACTTTCTGATGACAACAGTAATACATCCTCAGTGAAGCATGTGTGTCTTGAGGACATGTGTAGGTATCCCCCAATCCAGTCATTTTCCATCACTTATGATACATCAGGCCATGAGCCAAAGGCCTGTACCTACATTTTTACTTTGCATTCTACCACCAACTCTGTGAGCCAGGCGTTACTGCTGTCCCATCTTACAGATGAGAAAACCAACTCTAGCATGCATGCCCTTAGCCTCCTGCTGCCTCAAGACCAGGCTTTATGGTCAGGAAAAGGATGTAAATATTTAAGGGACAATGGAATGGACTGTTTGAAATTAGGAGGGAGGAGCTGTGCTCCTAGCACTGAGATTAGACTATTGACTGCTGCTCAGTAAATATTTACTGAGGGAAGGAATGATTGGTTACCATTTATGAAACCATGTTTACACTTTGTGCTCTTGTAGCAGGGAATGGGAAAGGAATATTTCACCCCTTCCCAGCCCTCCTGCCCCTCCTGAGGGAGGAGAGTGAGTGACAAACTAGAAGTCTGCTGTTCCCTCCAGGGCCCTAGGGCTAGCAGCTCTAGGTACACACCCAGAGGTCCCTCTGCCCTCCCTTCCCCCTCTGTTGCCCCCTGACCCTGAGGTCTGTTCCTCACTCCTGCCTGTTTGTTTCCACTTGTCACTTTGTGGGTTTGCTGGTTGACTGAGTCTGTCCTGCCCAGGATGGTAGCACAGGAGGCAGGACTCGGCCGTTCACTCAGTGCCTGGCACTCAGTGCAACTTACTGACTGTGGAGGAGTGAATCCAACCTCTGTGAGTTTTGCCAACAGTCCAGATTCAAAGTGTCTAGAGTGGCTAGAGTGTTGCTCTGCTTCTAGAAACTAATGAGGAAGTGGGAGCTGGGAGGCCCCCTATCCCAGGGTGACCGAGTTACGCGGTTATGTAAGTCAAGCTTTGGGTTTCTGGCAGGAGGTTACAATGCGTTTGGCGTGGACTCTGCCCTGGTGCTTATTCAAGAGAAATAACTGAAACTCCTCACTGGGAGCAGAGGCTCGGTTCCAGAACCTTCCTGCCCCGGTCCCTCCCCAGAGGAAGGGAAGTCCCCTGAAGGCCAGCTCCAGGAGAAGGGAAATGGGAACTCTACGCAGAAGGAAGATTCCAGGTTCCTGCAAACCCAGGATTATCTTATCAGTTTGGAGGGAGGATGATTGTTGACAATTCAACAATGGAGACTGAGCCAGCAAATTCAGGGCTTTGAGAGGCAGATAGGTGCCAGGGAGTGGTCTTTCCAGGTTTCGTAGTCTAAGATCAGGGGACGGGTGAGGACAGTGGGAATTTAGCCAGACTGGCCCACCTCTCTGCTTCATCCTTCATGATCTTTGCAAAATAACAATCAGAACTTTTCTAGGACAAACTAATTTAGTATGCTGCTGTGCAGGACCAACACAGAACGATACAGACCTACCTGGCCCTTGCTCCTAGGAATCTCACACCCGAGACAGCCTCAGGATCTAGAGTAGTGTCTGTGCAGGGGCGAGACTCCACTATGAATGGGGGCGGGAGGGGGGGCGGGCTTAGCAACTTTACACCCCCTGTTGCATTTAATCCTCACTTTAGCCCCCAGGTGTTGGCTCTACTCCTCCCATGAGACTCCCTCTCCTCCACACCCCCCAGGAGGAGGAGGCTGACTCTCAGGACAGGTGTGCGGGTTCCACCAGGGCACAGCCGACCAAGACCAACTTGAACTCCGGTCTACCTGGCTTCAGGCCTGGGCCTGAGCTCTTTCTGCCACACCTGTTTCCCCCACTGGAAACTACCCATCACCCACTTCCCAGCCCCCCTGCCCCTCCTTCGGGAAGAAAAAAGGTGTCATTTCTTTAAGATTAAATGATCAGCCAACTAATCTGAAACCACACAAACATATTTCCAAAGAATCTGACTGGTGTTTACCCACACTCTCCTGCCAAATGCCAAGAGCCTTTTACTGTAGGTACACAGCTGCGGATTCCCCCGTGATGGCGGGGCAGGGATTGCGCTGAAATACCAAATTTGAGCCTGGGAAAGTGACCTTTGGTCGGCCCTTTCCTGACTGGCTCCTTGCTGTCACCACCGTCGTCACAGCATTGCACTTCCTCCACGGGAGGCTTGATGCAAGCACTGGGAACTGTCACATGCCCTTTATGAGGGTTGCTATAGTGATTTCCAATGAGGGGGGGGGGGGGGGGGGGGCGGGATGTGCCTTGCCCCATGGGACACAAGTAGGAGGAAAAGTGCCTAGATTCATCCGGGTTCTAGTCTCGACCCCTGCTCTTGAGCACGGAGCTGGGCCAGCCCTCCCTGGGCCCTGCTGGTCCCGAAATCTCTGCCTTGGATTGAGCTCTGCCCTTGGCTTTGCTTGGTGCTCCTTTTTATCAGTCAGGCTCTAGTCAAATGCCCGCTCCTTAGAGGCCCTTCCCAGTCATCCCAGTTCAAGTTCTCCATCTCCCCCCGCCCTCTAGAACCGTCCCTGGATCCAGTTTTTCTCCTTTGCACTCGCCCTGGCAGTCTGAGGTTGCCTTGTGTATTTGATTGCTTCTTTGCCCAACAGAATGCCAGCTCCATGAGAAAGGTCCTCATGGGGTTTGGTTTCCAGTGTCCGCAGCCCTAGAACTGTGCTGGCTCATCGCCGGTGTTCACTAAATGTTTGCTGAGTGGACAAAGGAATAATCTGCCTCGATTCTCCACAACCCTGTGCACTAGTGTGTTAAAGGAAAGATGGTTGCAAATTCTTTGCAGCTCCTCCCAAGGAGAGGTGGGGCCTCCTCTCTTTCCTCCCCTTGAGTCTGGACTGAGCCTGTGACTCACTTTGATGATTGAAATTGGGTGTCAGAAACGAGGCCATGTGACTTCTGGAGCTAGATCTTACGAAACCTGTCAGCATCTGCCCGGATCTCTTGGAACATTCTTTCTGGGCAAGCCAGCTGTCATGAGAGTCTGACTAGCCTAAGTCCACCATACGGTCAGGAAGCCCAAGCAGCCATGTGGTGCCAGAGGCAAGTGAAGAAGCCATCTTGCACATCCAGCTCCAGGCACCCTCGCTTTGCAACCACCTGAGCCCAATCAATGGACACAACTGTTAGATAATAAGTCAATTTAAGCCATCACATTTTGAGGTGATGTTACACAACTGATAAGGTAGGAAGATAACTCTTCATTTTTCAGATCAGAGAAACCAAGACACTGAAAGATCCAATGACTTACCCGAGGTCAGTCGGCAGAGTGGGCACTCCAGCTCGGATAATCTCCAAGGCCTGTGGCTTTTAACCTCGTGGTCACATCATTGAATTAACTTATATGTTCCTCCTGATTTTTTGTTATAACATCAGTTTCAGGCTGAGAACTGGTCCTGAGAACTTTCTGCCTTCTCATTGTAGATCTTCATAAACAATGAATGGCATGACGCTGTCAGCAAGAAGACGTTCCCCACCATCAATCCCTCCACTGGGGAAGTCATCTGTCAGGTAGCTGAAGGGGACAAGGTGAGAACTGGTGGCTTACCTCGGGGAAGGGGTGGGCAAGGGTAATTTAATTTTCTACTTAATATGTTCTTGTATGATGGGAGCTTTGCCGTGTGTGTATTGCTTTCAAAACTAAAAAATGGCAATTAAAATTTTTGAGTAAATGAATCAACAGAAACTCTTCCTTGCAGACAAAGGTGCTAGTATGCGAGTTCACTACATACTATTGTGGATTGTAGACATGGAATTGAACTTGAGAACATCTGCTCCAGTCTCTCCTTCCCAGAGCTAGATGGAAATCTTGTTGAGTAGAATTTGGGTTTCCTGAGATCTAGCTCTGGTGTTTGTAGTATGTCTTGTTTTCATTATATATACTCATAGTAATTACATAGTAATAGTTAACTACAATTTTTTATATTATACTTTTAATAAAAATATGTATTAATAGAAAAGGCATTACAAATAATTCAAGAATGCCTCCTTCCCTCTGCTTTAAGACAGTCTTCTACATTCATGATTAAGGCCTGCTGCCTTTGCTAAAAGCAAATGTGAATACTCTTCTGGGTTGTAGGGTAGTCTGACAGCAAATGTGATGAATGAGAACCGTGCTCCCTACTTCCTGAGATGCATCTCTCTTATCAAAAATGCTAGCTGGTTTAGCTGGGTTGATTTACAGCTTCCCAAGGAGAGGGAAGCTGGTACACCTGCACTTGCTGGACACTGCCAATTGTCTGAGGGGGAATGTTAATTAAGTTCATGGAGCTTGCTTCCTTAGGAAGGGGGAACATGGTCAAATCCTCAGCACTGACCCCGGAGTGCCTTTCCCTCCAAAACTCACTGGGGGGTTTTGAAATAAAAATACAGAAATGGAAACGCCAGGGTCCTCATTCCCTCCGTGACTCCTGGGAAGGAGAGCCGGGAGCTCAGCAGGTGGAGCCCTTCGGAGCGGGGAAGGACTGTACAGGCACTGCTGTTGGGCAGTGGGGTGGGCAGTTTATGGAGGTGGCTGTTGCTCAGAAGGCCTGAGCTGCCTCGCTGGGTGTTTTCCAGGAAGATGTGGACAGGGCAGTAAAGGCTGCTCGGGCCGCCTTCCAGCTGGGCTCGCCCTGGCGCCGCATGGATGCCTCCAACAGGGGTCGGCTGCTGAACCGCCTGGCCGACCTGATTGAGCGGGACCGGACCTACCTGGCGGTGAGTTCTCAGCCCCCTTCCCTCTTATCCCACATGGCGAATGGGTTCAGAGTATCCCATAGACAACCAGGAAGGGGCCACAGTGCTGACAAGTAACTGGTCAGAATGGCAGAGGCTGGGTCCCTTTGAGATATGTCCTTGCACCAACCAAAGGAGTCTCTCTTTTGATGCAGTGGGTTTGGCTAAGCAAGGAAGAGACTAGGGGAGAGAGGAGAGCCATGTTGGGGAGCCTTCCCAGGAGAGAAACCCCCAGGGATGGACATATCTCCTGTGCATCTTTCTCCCTGGCTGCCAGAGGCAGAAAAAGCCAGGAGGCAGTACCCCTTCCTCTCGCCTATCCATTCTGTACATAGCGGCCAGAGTGACCCTTCTAGAAGGCAAATTATGTCATGGAGCTCCACTCCGAGGCCTTCCATGGCCTCCTGTATCCTTAGGATAAAGTCCTGTTTCCTCAACGTGGCCTGCAAGGCCCTGCCTGGTCTGGCTCCATCTCCTAACTCATGCTGGACCATGGCCCTCACACATAGCTCAGCTCACCTGCCTGCGCCCAACTTCTTGACTACCAAGCTGCTTTGAGCATCAGGGCCGTTGCACATGCTGTTCCCTCTGCCTGGAGTGTTCTTCCCTTCATCGCTATTTGTACCTTCCCCCTTTGCCCAGTCACCTCCTACATGTCTTTCAGGTGGGAGTTTCTCAGACTGGATTGGGCAGCCTGGCCTTCTTCTTCCTAGCACTCTTAACCCATGTGATTGATGATTCCTATCTTTCTTCACTGGCTCTTTGCTCTGGAAGCTCCTTGTTAGTCTCTGTATTCCCACCCTGGATCTGGCATAGAGCAAACTGAAAACAATGTGTTTGTGAAATGACTGAATGAGAAGTTGGTGCATCATTCTCCTCATCTCCCTGCTCATTCTCCCTGCCCTGCCTTTGGAGAGGGAGGGCCACTGGCCCAGAAATGCTGTGATATTCAGTGGCCCAAGTGGCCACAGCCCTTCTCAGCCCATGCTGAGCCTCTATGCTGCTTGTCACTTATTTGCTTTGTTTCATTCCTGTGCCAGTATGTCTGTGCTGATCTTGTTCTTCTTTTTAGGCCTTGGAGACCCTGGATAATGGCAAGCCCTATGTCATCTCCTACCTGGTGGATTTGGACATGGTCCTCAAATGTCTTCGGTAGGGCCTCAGGCTTCCTGGTCTTTGTCCTGGCCATGCCAAAGGGGAGGGAGTACTGCTGGGGAGGTAGAAATAGGATAATGTAAACAGATCATGAGACTTGGAGAAATGTGTTCTACTGGACTCCATCTCGGGGGAAAATCCCTCAGTACCGAAATTATAATCCTAGAGGCCCAGTGAATTTCGTGCACTGGTGGGGTCCCTAGTGGCTGCCGGCTGCCGGCTGGGGCCTCCCTCCCTTCCCCTGGTGGCCGCAGCTGGCCAGGGCCTCCTCCTTTCCCCCAGCCGACCCCACCCCCTGGTTGAACTCCCAGACGAATTCCAATAAATTTATTATATTTATATAATAAAAGCCTAATATGCAAATTGTCCCCTTGGGCAGTCATTCAATCGGGAGACCAGGAGTACGACCACTTGCTATGATGTGCTGACCACCAGGGGGTGGCGCAGAACATGGCAGGCATTGGCGATGCACTGCAACCTCTTGCCGGCTACCTGGGGGCAGGGGTGACGGGGATGGAGGTGCGGTGAGAATGCGGGGTATCCATGAGCCCTCCCCACACCTGAGCAGCCTCTTCCTGGTGAGCCGGGCGGCAGCCACCAGGACCGCAGGGGCCAGTCGGGCTCCCTGTGGGTTCATGCAGGAGCCGGTCTGCGAGGCCGGCAGGGAGAGAGCGTGCTGCCCGCCCGGCTTCCATGTGGTGCCGCTGGGCAGCCCAGAGGCCCATGCTGCACCCTGGCCTGTGGTGTCCAGCCACGCTCACTGTATCTCCACATGGGGACTCAGGGGGAGGGGGGTGTGTGGGGACCCGGGGGCCCAGGGCCCAGAGGTCAGCTGGGACCTGACCTTCCACGCCAGATGCTTGGGCTTCGATTGCCAGCCAGGCCTAGGAACTGCACCCGTGTATGAATTTCGTGCACTGGGCCTCTAGTCTAGTCATAAATGTTTCTCAATTCTTGAGTCAGTTTTGGTAATTTACGTTGTAGTTGGATTTGTCCATATCATCCAGGTCAGGGGTAGGGAATGTATAAGGCCTGCGAAACCATTTTGTCTGGCCCTGCCAAGGCATTAGGGTAAGTTAATTAAATATCTGACCAAATATAGCAGCCTAATGTTTAAGTTGATCATTTTGTATGGCCCTTGAATGATGTTCTAAATATCCAAATGGCCCTTGGCAGAAAAAAGGTTTCTAGGTTGTCCAATTTATTGGCTTCAGTTGTTCATAGTATTCTCTAATAACCCTTTTTATCTCTGTGAGTTCGATCAGAATATCCTCACTTTCATTTCTGATTTTAGTTATTTATGTTGTCTCCCTTTTTTCCTTAGTCTAGCTGAAAGTCTGTCAATTTTGTGAATGTTTTCAAAGAACCAACTTTTGACTTTGTCGATTTTGTCTATTGTTTTTTATTCTCCATTTCATCTATCTCTGCCCTAATCTTTATTTCCTTTGTGTTAGTTTGATCATAAACATTTTAGTGACCAAGAAATAAAAGATGAGGAATGGGAGCTTTGTTAGAGCTCTTTGTCAGTAACAGAGACTCAGTCTGATCTGGACCACACAGGGCAAGGACTCTTTAAAAAAAAACAAAACAACTTTTTTTTTTTTTTTGTATTTTATTGATTTTACAGAGGAAGGGAGAGGAAGAGAGAAACATTAATGGTGAGAATCACTGCTCAGGAGGCTTCTGCATGCTCCCTACTGGGGACTGAGCCTGCAACCTGGGCATGTGCCCTGACTGGGAACTGAACTGTGACCTCCTGGTTCATGGGTTGACATTCAATCACTGAGCCACACCAGCCGGGCCAGTCAGAACTCCTAAAGCCACTAGGTTTCACTGCTGCCCACTCCTACCCCTAGCTTCTCTCTTTTCTCGACCACCACCAGACTCCTTCAGGCCAGTCTGCATGTTGGAATCTGACTGCCCACACGGGGACTTGCTTCTCTCTGTGATTCTAGCCAGACCAAGTGGCATTCTCAGTCTCTTAGAGATCACTGTGCAAGTAACAGCTGTTTCCCCATGACCACATGGACTGAGGTGGAGAAGGAGAAGCAGTACCAGAAAAGTCGGGGTTGGGCAACATAACAGGTTCTCAGCCAGGGCAGCTATGTCACTGGGAGACTGTGGGCAGCGTCTGGAGACATTTTTGGTTGTCACAACTGGGTGGGAAGGGGTGCTGCTGGCATCTAGTGTGTAGAGGCCAGGGACGCTGCTAAATATCCTCCAAGGCACCAGATTTCCTGAAATAAAAGCAGACCTGAAAGCTCCCACCACAATCATCCAGCCCCACATGTCAACAGTGCCCACATCGAGACCCTTGACGCCCCAGAGCGAGCAGCCTGGCAAGTCTCGGGCAGTGCCCTCGCCTGCCTGGGTTGCAGCAGTGTGCCTCTGTGCTGATTAAGTAACTATTCTGAGGTGTGCAAAACACATGCAGTACAGACCTGGGAGGAAGAGA